CGCCCCCCGGCCCGAGATGCTGGTGCTGCTGCTGCCCGGGAGCCCGGCCCGCGGCCCGGCGCGCAGGAGGAGGCAGGAGCTGGTGCTGGGGCAGCTCTGCTTGCTGGGCTCGCTCCTGCTGCTGCTCTCCTCGCTCTCCTGCTGGGCTGGCAGCGCCGGTGAGTGCCGCGACCCCGGCCCGGATCGCCCCGGCCGCCGGAGGGGGTGGGGGGGCGGCGGCAAGGGGGGCTCCTCGCCTCGGCCGGGGGTCGGAGCCCCTGGGCGGGTCACGCTCCCTCCCTCTCTTACATCCATGCTCACACACTCACACATGTGCTCACATGCACACACTCCCACATGCACACACACTCACATTCATGCTCACTTACATGCCCACACACGGACACACTCCCTGCCCCACACATGCTCTCACACACACTCACATACATGCACTCCCACATACACTTACATACATACACAGACTCACACTCGCATGCTCACATACACACCCCCACACATGCTCATACACACTCCCACATACATGCACACACTCCCACATACATTTACATGCACACACTCCCACATACATTTACATGCACACAACCACACACTAGCATACACGCTCACACACTCTCTCACACACAAACACCCCTCCCCTCCATTTCCTCCCCCATCCTCGTCCCCCCTTTGCTTTCCTTGTGGAGCCTAGGGCCCCTGGAGATGGCCCAGAGGTCAGTGTCATCGGGGACCCCAGAGACGAGCCCTGAGTTGTTTCCCAAGCCTGTTCCCTGAGGAGGCTCCCTGACTACCATGTGCACAACTCCATCTACCAGCCTGACACCTGGGGAAGAAAGTGAGGAAAAGTTGTAGTAGCTGCTCTGGCTCTGGGAAGAGAGGGGTATTTCCTGTGGTGTCTCCTGTCCGTCTTCTGGTCTGCGGGGTGATCGTCCCCCTCTGCCTGTGCAAAACCACCTGCCCTTCCTGGAGCGCACTGAAAAACTGGGTCATTATCTCAGACACCCCCCTTGCCTGAGATCCAGTGGATACGTTGTAGGCAGCCCCTGGCAGGGACTTCACATTTGCTGTGTGCGTTGAACAGTCCTCACTTGCCGGAGAGGTGACAGTTACTCTCAGAGGGAGCAGCCTGCCTGGTGACTTTTAGGTATAGCTTAGAAGTTGCAGGCTGGGTGAATGGTGGTGGGGGATTCCCAACCCCATCCCTGGGGCTTATAATGCAGTGGGACTCACTTCTTCACTTTTTCAAACCTGTTTCTGTATTTCTGCCTTCCTGGATGAGATTGACAGCTCTGCACAAGCTCAATTCCCTAGCTTGCTAGTTCACCTCCTGTATTGATCCCACAACTCCCTTATCTCCCCCCACTACTTCCACCCCTTCACCTTTACAGGGTCCTGGGTTCTCCTGAGCTGCCATGACCAGTTGTGGGTATTACCTGAACTGAGCCACTTATACTCATTTCACTTGTGATGATGACCAAGACGAAACTCAGGTTTCCAGAAGAACTAGGCATTTAGTCTCTGCCACTTACTCCTTTAAACTCCATAGTTAGCGAATGAATGGTGAGTACATTAGGAAGAAAATTAGTGCTCTTTAAAAATTATATCTTTCCTAATAGGGTGCAGCATTAGATTGGAATACATCTAAGGCACTTAAAAAACCCCTGTTAAGGGAGGAAGCTAAGCCATTTCACACTTTTATACTGTCATTTAAAATAAATGGTGATCCTTGCAGGATTGGTTTAGCTTCTTCCAATGTCAAGAGCCTTCATCAGGTGACTGTAAAACACAACTGATTAGTTTGTCACAATGAATTATCTGTGAGTTTATTTCAAATTGTGATTTTGTCCATATATTCTACTGGTTCTACAGGTTCACCTGTTAACACTGATTGTCACATGGGGATGTTGTAAATGTTGCCACATTTTACTGATGCAGCAGTAGAGGAACTTTGCAAGTTCCTTTTCATGAGTTGCAGATCTAATTGTATTCAGTTTAGCAGCTGTAGTCCTAGCTGAAAGGTATTCATTAGACTTATTTAACTCTCTCTGTGCAGTCAGTCTTTATGAGGTGAAAGGCCTTTCAAAGCATATTGCCACCTTCAGATAAAAGAAAGTGTGTGCCAGTCCATAAGCTGTATATTTATTACGATTGCCATTCACACAGTCATGTTCTGTGAGTCACGTAGTAGCACTGTATATTGTTCAAATTTTAGGTGGGAGATAATGAAATGTTTGTTTTCCAGGTGGTGAAATGCATGACACTTTAATATCTATCTACTGCAGTGGGTTGTTGAAACCTGTGGGAAATGTGGGACAATTGTGATCGTATTTTAGAGGATTTGTTAGAAACTTAAAGACCTTAGTGTGCCATTTTGAAAAGAAGTGATTTCTCCTGGTTCATTTTTTTAACCACCTGTTAAAAGCGTGGAGTATGAAAATAACCAACTATTCTTATCAAGTTGTGCCAACACAATATTTGCATTGAAAATATGAAAATATAG